CACAATGGTGGCTTAGACCTGTCTGCCCTCTTCGGTTTAGCCAGCCATTGTGACTTGGTAATAGGAGGCAACTTTAATGCGCACCATCCAAGATTCAGATATGAGAACTTCTATGCAGCAGACACACATATCATGAGTCTGCTGGACGACCAAGAAGACATCACTTGCTCAACAACCACGAGCCAACTCACAACAGAGGTGGAATACTGAATCTCACCTTAGTCTCCAACTCCCTAAAACAAGATGCCACTTGGAGGGTTCACCCCTGGTCATGAGTGACCATTATGGAATCCACCTCAAGCTGCCAATTCCTGAAATCTTCCAAATCCCTGCTCCTCCACCTCGATGGAATTTGAAGAGGGTCGACTGGGGCTGATTCCGGGAGCACCTCAGCAATTGGTACTCAGCTTATACACCACCTGGAGATATTGACCAAGCTGAGGCTGAACTAGATAACGCCTTGCAAGCCGCAACTGACTCCTCAATCCCCCTTTGCAAACCACATTATGCCAATCAACGTGACAGGTGGTACTACTGTGATAGAGTAAATGAACTCAATCACCTGCTCAACGTCGTCCGAAAAATGCACAGGAACTGTCGTACTGACGACTCATACCGTACTTTTCAGGTAGTTAAAGTGCATGTCCATGAAGAGACGAGAAATTAAGAGGAAATAATGGCTTGAGTGGTGTTCCATCCTAGATGCTCACACCTCTGTGGGCCAATGTGTATGAATATCAACTCTTTCGCTAAAGAAAGACCTCCTAGAATCATCCCCCACAAGGATCCCAGCAGGGTAGCTAAAGAACTCTCCACCAAATTCGCAGAGAGGGCTAACTCCTATCAGCTACCCATCACAACCAGAAACTCTTCAGGGTCTCACCGCTGCAAAATGGGATGAAGTAGAAGAGGCCACCATTACCGAAGATCAAGCAGATGCCCCCTTCACTCTGACTGAGTGGCAAAAAGTGAGCAAGAGCTCCAAGAACACAGCCCCAGGTGTGGACATAATCACATACTCGATGATTCAGAATATGGGGTCCCAAGGGGAGCTGCTCTACTCTAGCCAATTAACAAGACATATACTCTGAGAGTCAGACCAGCTTCATGGAATAGGGTAGATATTCAGCCCATTCCTAAACCAAAAGAACCGGATAACCCACGTTCTATCTCTCCCTTAAGCTGCCTGAGCAAGACAGCAGATGGTGCTTAACAGACTTTGTTGGAAGTGCCCACCCCTCCATGAAAATATACTCGCCTACCAGCCAGGCCTAGGCACCTCAGAATTTATAGCTTCCATGCCATCATTCAGCAATGATCATCGTGGATTGTTTTTCTTGATCTAGGGAGGCCTTTGAACTTGCCCATGTACCGGTAATACTCTATGCTCTGGTTGCTAAGCAGATCAAAGGAAACCTTCTCTCCTGGATCAAGTTGAGTATACAAAACTGTAGCGCTCAAGGCCAAGTTCAGGGGCATTATTCCACCTATAATGTCCATGAAAACGGGACCCCCCAAGGTGGAATTCTCAGCCCCTTCATCTTCAACAGTCTCATGGAGAAAATCATGGACATTGCACTGCCACCTGGAACTAAGATCTTCAATTATGCTGACGACTTTGCCCTTTTCAGAAGAAGCGACAAGAATTTAAACAAGACCCAGCGCTGCCTCACCAAGATTTACAAAGCCTCCATCTCCCTCGAGCTAAAGATAAACACCCTCAAAACCAAGGTGCTTCCCATCCACCAATGGAGACCAGATACTACACTAGTCATAGGAAATGAGCCTGTGGACTGGGTTACCAAGCACCTCCACCTGGGAGTATACATTGATAGCTACCTAACATTCGAACCCGAGATACAATACTTGCGTGACAAATGTAAACTACGCCAAACTGTCCTTCGACAGATGTCAGGCCTTTTTGATGGCGCATCCTTCAATCTCCTGAGAACCATCTATGTGCAAGCCATACAAAGCTTCGTTGACTATGCATGTCCCACCCTCTGGCTACTGAAAGATCAACAATGGGACAAGATAAAGGTAATACCAAATAATGCCATGCAAACCATGCTAGGAGCCCCTATATGGACCAAAAGAGAAAACCTCCAGATGTAATCCAACCTCACGCCACTTAAACTTAGATCTCTACAAATATTAACCCTCTCAGTGGCCAAACCACCACGGTTCAACGTCCCTGCCTCACTGGCTCCAACTTCCGGCTAGCCCACAATCGCCACACGGACCTCCCTGCAAGAACCTGGGCAGCCAAGGTCTGTGCCGGCCTGCAAGCATAACCAGTCAAGGAAAATATCAAAAGCCAAGATCCAGGACTCTCTGCTTCCTGACTACTGATGCCCTCCTCCATGAGACGACCAGCTGCTCGACATAAAAACTGAGCTGACAGACAACCCCAAAGGCTCACTTAACCCAATTGTCCTCAAAAACACATACAAGGAAAAATTCAGAGCTGGAGCAGGCCAAACTCCCAAATCTTCTACACTGATGGCTCAGTCAATCAAGAAACTGGAGCCTCAGTGGCTGCCTTCACCACAGAAGATCATGTCCAATCCTGG